GCTGAACTTTTGTACACGCTTCTGAACAGAAGCTGTTAGCAGATATGTTACGTGATTTACTGGGAAATATTCCTTGGAATTTGTGTGAGCCCTACAGCCGTTCTCAATCAGTGGTAATAAGTAGTCAAACCACGTGGTGATGACTTAACTTCCTGCTCTTGTGTCAGTTAATGGCTTTTAATGTGATTCTTTGTGACAGGGTGACTTGAACTAATTAAAGTTCTGTCTGGCTCCTTAGAGGGAAATTGGGTGAAGGAAAAGTAGAAACCAGAAGCAAATAGGGTGGCTTGCTAACTTAGCCTATTGTGGGCTCTGCCCACGTTGTGTTGAAACCTTCTCCCTTGGCCAGTGGTAGTGGCAGAGCTGTGCAGGCAGCTTCTGCCAGCTGCTGGGTGTGCCTCCTCCCTCCTGCCCATCTGGTTCTCCTCCAGATGCACTCTGAGCTGCCTGGGGCTGGCAGGAGCTTCCCACTGGGTCCTTCTTCAGGGTCTTGACAAATCCAAACATTTTGCTGATAGCTGCTCTGGGGTAACCCAGTGGAATGGCCATGCAGCAAGACTTAGGAGATCTAGCTTTTAATTTATGTGTTGCCTTAGACCTGGCTTGATCCTCACCACCTCATTTCTTAGCATAATACCCCAACATGCAGGTTATTGGATAAGGGGAGGAGAGGAGAAGAGTAAGGAAGACAGGAAGGTGTCTGTTCTGTCCAGAAGAGTTGTGTAGTACCTGTAGTAACAGGGATTTGAGGAGTGGACTCCTACCTTCAGCTGGGTGGCTAGCAGTGGCATCACTCTCTCTTTAGCCTAGTGTATGCCCATGTTGTTAAAGCAGAATGGAGCAGTCCCAGCAGTGCCACACAAAATAAACTGGCAATTCAGGTACCTCCTTTTGCTCTGGGGGGCTGAGGTTCCTGCTACGCAGCTGAATGAAGAAGAGCAGAGCCTTGACCCTCAGCCCCTCACAGCTCAGCTGAGTCCCATAGCCACTGAGCTGTGACCTGTGTGGAGATGGCAAACCTGGAATATGAGTTTGTCCAGGTGCCAGATCAGAAAATCTCTGTGATAGTGGTAACATACAGAACAGAAAAATCTTATTCTCCAGGTGGTGCATCGTCGTTAGGCTGCAGGTACTAGTGGGATACATCCCTTCAGAGGGATGTTTCCCTGGTCACAAAACATCACAGTTCATCTTTCCTGCTTTTCAAAACCTGTTGATTAATCTTTTCTTGACCATTCTTCACAGATTTACATGAGCCCTGAAGTTATCCTCTGCAGAGGCCACACAACAAAAGCAGACATCTACAGCATGGGAGCTACTATTATTCATATGCAGACTGGCATCCCACCCTGGGTGAACAGATACCCTCGTTCTGCATATCCGTCATACCTCTACATTGTAAGTGTCCTTAGCAAAGCCCTAGCTCAGTTTCAGGTGAAGGGTTCCCTGTACTCTGGTTGTGAAAGCTCCAGTCATACAAAAAATATCAAAATACTTGTTGGGGAGATATCATCTTTTTGCTTAGAGAAGGAGGGAAGAAGTGGGTTTTGGTCATTTAGGGGAAGAGAGAGGCTGAGCTGGATTAATCTCTTTTGCTTTGTGTTACAATTTACAGGCCTTGAGTTTACTGCAAGACAGGGCTAGAACAGTGTGAAACTTGATTGAAACAAGCCCATCTATCTTCTACTCGTCTGTTTTGCTTAGAAATTGCAGATAAAAAGTGAAGCCTAGCAAATTTGATTCTCTGGTTCTTCCAGTGTAGTACAGAAATCTAGTAAATTTGCATTGCACTAGATTTTATGCTTGCTTGGAGTTGCTTTGAATTTTAAAATTTGTGATAAAATCTGATATTAAAAAAGTACATTTTGTGTAGTTACATGTTCTGTTCTAAAAGATCAGCCCAGCTCAGAGGGAGGATGAGTTGTACGTGGGGAATTCCCAGACCACTTATGGGTTTATCTGTGACTTCCTCTTTCATTGTTTTTGGAATAACTGTTTCAATGGTCTCTTTTAATTGCAACAGATACACAAGCAGGCTCCCCCCTTAGAAGACATTGCTGAAGACTGCAGCGCTTCCATGAGAGAGTTACTAGAAGCAGCTCTAGAAAGGAATCCTAATCATAGGCTGTCTGCAGCAGACTTACTGAAACACGAAGCCTTACACCCACCCCCAGAAGAGCAACCCCGGTGCCAGAGCCTGGACTCAGCATTGTTTGAAAGGAAAAGGCTACTCGCAAGGAAGGAGCTGCAGTTGCCAGAGAACATTACAGGTAGTTATAGCAGGCTGGCTTACCTTGCACTTTGTAGATTTTACTTTGTGTCAGTGAGTGTTTAGAAACAAACAAAACTCAAAAAGCTTCTGGAAGGAGAAGGGTAAAAATCCCAATTAGATGAGGTCAGACCCAGAGCTCATTAAGTCTTATGTAAAACGCCCATTGACTTCAACAGGGGAAGAACTTAATCTGCAGCTCAGGAAGGGTTGGCTCATGAAAAAGCCCTGGCAGTCATTCAGGGCACTTATTTAAGAAATACAGGCTGCTGTTCACAACAAAAGTAGAGGTGTTTTAATGATACTAGTGATTTATTAGTTAAAGTTCCACCACCACCGAAACCAACACTTTTTGCTTCCTTAAAGACACACTCAAACCCGTAGCTGCAGTGTTACTGAGTGTCAGCAGTACAGGCCCTTTGTTTCAAACCCAAAAATAACTACGATAAAACACAGTTTCCTTGTGCATAAATAAGTGCTTTGTGAAGGATAATACATGAACTAGTTATGAAACTCTGTGTGTCCTCAAGTAGTACCAAGACCAAGGGAGTTTTGGTGCCAAAAACCTGCTAGCAGGCTTCAAAATAAGTGCTAAAATATATTTGGAGGGTGCTCACAAAAAGCCCTTAAAAACTGACGCCAGACAAGTGGTTTATTTGATTGTGTTAAGTGCTTGAAAAGGTACCCATGCAAAGTTTTGGGTGCTGTAATACATAATTGTTGCAATGAATCCACTTAACATTTATATCAGTCACAGCCTTTGCATCTTGAATGGCATTGCTCTGTCTGAATTTTGCCTTGTGGATGCATAACCCTTTAGCCAGCTCAGGCCATCTGAATCAATTCTTTGAAGATGAAAAATTATTTGACATTTAAACTGGAACTTTAGTTCAGGTGGTTGAAATTCCAGGACATTCATTACACAAGTATTCAGGGGAGTTCTGCCATTGCAAAGGTTTCTTCAGACCTTGATTTAAAAGAAAAAAAATAATTACACTTGTAGTCCCGAATTTGTTCTGTATTGTCATGCCCTGTGACACAAAGAGAACATCATGTTTAGATGAAAATTCCCCTGTAATGGAGGGGAATTCTCAACTGGCAGAAAGCTAGCAGAGTTTTTTCTTGCACCAAACTCCTTTAGCACTGTGGCTCAAAGGATAAGGAAGCTCTGTCTAGAGGTTCCAGCTGAGGGGAAATTTTTTTCCAGTAGTTAAATACACCCTGTTTTCAGTAGAAAACTGTTTACCTTTATTTGCCCTAGAGTTGTGGGTTGATTTGGTATATATTGTTTTTTAGGAGGTTTATGTTATATTGTCCTTAAGAGTGAAGTTTTCTAAACCACAGATAAATAAAAGCAAACATTAGGCCAATTATTCCAGTAATGTCTGCAACCGTGGAACTGAATCATTGTAGCTGTTTGAGCAATAAGGATGTGCTTTGTCTCTTTCCTTTTTAGATTCCTCTTTGTGTACTGGGAGCATGGAAGAGTCAGACCTGCTAAGGAGGCAAAGATCACTCTACATAGATCTTGGAGCTCTAGCTGGTTACTTCAATATTGTTAGGGGACCACCAGCCTTAGAATATGACTGATTCGGTAATGCTGTATGTCAGCAGGTCAGAAGTGGACCTCTACCTCTTAAAACTTGATTTTAGGACTTGATTTTTCAAATTTGTACATAAAAATAGTGCCATTATAGGCTGTAAAATGTGAATAGTGTTTAATTGCACAGATGATTAAGCTAAACCCCTAGGGGCTCTGATAAGCTGATCCCAAGCAACAATATTTGTGTGTCTGCTGGTTGACGAACAAGATGTCAAAAAGAACATTGCTGGGAATGTCTTAATCCAAATGTCTTATCTTCCTGTGCTGGGCCTTGCACTTTTATAAAACTTGTAATATATGCTTGCCAGTACTGCCATTACAAAAAAAGAAAAAACCAAAACAATAATTGGAAAACATGGAGCATGTGGGCTGTAAGATTCAGTCTGTCTGAGCTGTCCTTGGAGAAAACCTTCCAAAAAAAGTCCTTGATTTAACCAGTCAGAGACTGGTTCAGTCTTGCTCTGTCTTTGAGACTTGGCCAGTCTCTGGTCATTCTAAGTGGGAATCAGGGCCTCCCTTAAGCAGAGGTAATTTCTCTCAGCTGTCTCTGGAGCCCAAACATCACTTGGTTACCAGTGTGGTTTAACTTTGCATCTTCCCTGGGGTGTCAGAGCTAAGCAGGCCACTGTTCCCCTTCTCCATGGGTGTAGGGA